ACACTCCCTATACTTAACACTCCCTATACTTAACACTCCCTATACTTAACACTCCCTATACTTAACACTCCCTATACTTAACACTCCCTATACTTAACACTCCCTATACTTAACACTCCCTATACTTAACACTCCCTATACTTAACACTCCCTATACTTAACACTCCCTATACTTAACACTCCCTATACTTAACACTCCCTATACTTAACACTCCCTATACTTAACACTCCCTATACTTAACACTCCCTATACTTAACACTCCCTATACTTAACACTCCCTATACTTAACACTCCCTATACTTAACACTCCCTATAACACTCCCTAACTTAACACTCCCTATACTTAACACTCCCTATACTTAACACTCCTTAACACTATACTTAACACTCCCTATACTTAACACTCCCCCTATACTTAACACTCCCTATACTTAACACTCCCTATACTTAACACTCCCTATACTTAACACTCCCTATACTTAACACTCCCTATACTTAACACTCCCTATACTTAACACTCCCTATACTTAACACTCCCTATACTTAACACTCCCTATACTTAACACTCCCTATACTTAACACTCCCTATACTTAACACTCCCTATAACACTCCCTATACTTAACACTCCCTATACTTAACACTCCCTATACTTAACACTTAACACTCCCTATACTTAACATACTTAACACTCCCTATACTTAACACTCCCTATCCCTATAACACTCCCTATACTTAACACTCCCTATACTTAACACTCCCTATACTTAACACTCCCTATACTTAACACTCCCTATCCCTATACTTAACACTCCCTATACTTAACACTCCCTATACTTAACACTCCCTATACTTAACACTCCCTATACTTAACACTCCCTATACTTAACACTCCCTATACTTAACACTCCCTATTACACTCCCTATACTTAACACTCCCTATACTTAACACTCCCTATACTTAACACTCCCTATACTTAACACTCCCTATACTTAACACTCCCTATACTTAACACTCCCTATACTTAACACTCCCTATACTTAACACTCCCTATACTTAACACTCCCTATACTTAACACTCCCTATACTTAACACTCCCTATACTTAACACTCCCTATACTTAACACTCCCTATACTTAACACTCCCTATACTTATCCTTAACACTAACACTCCCTATCCTTAACACTCCCTATACTTAACACTCCCTATACTTAACACTCCCTATACTTAACACTCCCTATACTTAACACTCCCTATACTTAACACTCCCTATCCTTAACACTCCCTATACTTAACACTCCCTATACTTAACACTCCCTATACTTAACACTCCCTATACTTAACACTCCCTATACTTAACACTCCCTATACTTAACACTCCCTATACTTAACACTCCCTATACTTAACACTCCCTATACTTAACACTCCCTATACTTAACACTCCCTATACTTAACACTCCCTATACTTAACACTCCCTATACTTAACACTCCCTATACTTAACACTCCCTATACTTAACACTCCCTATACTTAACACTCCCTATACTTAACACTCCCTATCGAGGCATGGAAGTGAACTATTTCCCTATACAAACTGTAGCAAACTATACCTTTTGCTGCGACCAGCTGGTGATCTACTGGTCTATATGGGAGGGGGTGAGAGTGACCTCCCTCAGGTGCTGACCGGCCCACACTGAATCTCCCTCGCTCTGCCTTCCTTAGTCAGAGCTACGGGGTATTCCTACGCCAGATTTACTAAGTTTACTAGCAGGGTTTAAGTTGAACAATTAATCTCTGTCACACACAGAGATCACACTAACGTGATGCATCAAATGAACAAATCCACAAGGGCCGTGACAAGGATTCGAACCTTCGTCCGGGAACATCCCAGACACTGCCTTAATCGACTGAGATACGACAGGGTTAAAAGGGTTGAAACCAAACTTCTACTGAACTTACTGGAATTAAGGCAGTGTCTGCGATGCAGGTTCGAATCCTCGTCACGGCCCTTGTGGATTTGTTCATTTAACTAATCTCTGTTGTTCTGAACAACTCAGATAGTTGAACTCTTTTAAACTGATGGTAATTGCACAGGCATCTTAGGGAAAGGCTATTTCCAATTACAATATGGCTATTTGAACTTTGAAAATTATTAAATATGGAAGGCTTTGGTGACCCTTGACCCAGGGTCGTCAAGATTGACCCGTGTCAGAGGCTAGACCCCTGCCCGTGACGTCACTGATGGTGACTTACTCAGTATTTCGGCAATTGAGAATACGTTTGATACTTGAACAGAATATGTTATTGAATATAATTTGAATGAAGACTTGAATTTCTCCAGATTACTGAATTCTGTAAAATAATTCATTATACGTTGCTTAAGACAAAGGCGCCGGCCATTTTGTGACCTTAACCGGTAATCCCAGGAGAGATGCCCCGTGCTTCCCGAGTCTGGTCACTACCGCTTCACTCCAACTTTCCAAACCTCCATGTCTATG